AAGTAAAAAGTCAGTAATAAAATAAGAGCAAATACAAAAATTGCAAACAAAAGCACAAATAAATGCAATAGAATAAAGAGAGCTATGAAACTAAGTTTTTCAGGTTAAGTAAGTTTTTATTCAGGTAAGAAATAATACAGAAATTAAAGTAATCAAATGTAAAATAACACATCCAGTGTTATTCATTGTGCCCGGATCCGATCATGAGGAAAATCGGCCGATTCCGATCCCTGGCCGATCGATCGGTGCATAGTTTTTGACATGTTTTATTATGTGTGAATCATGCTATCATATCGATTTAATTTTTCATAATGTTCATAGCACAAATGATGCTCAATGAGTAACATGGTGAACCTTAATACACAGGGTTTGGGTTTAGGACAAAATCATTTCCCAAACACTCCCGTGCCTGCCATTGTTATGCCACAGTTTTTGTGCTTAAGGGGAAATCAGTGTCTTGCTTACAGTATTAAAAAAAACAACAACAGCCTAGTATTCTTAAAACAGATACTGTACCTTCAATGCAATGAAGGCTGAGTCTCTTTTGGAGGTGGAGTTTCCCTAGTCTGTGTCTGTCGGTCACCGTCTGTGGTGAATAAGCGCCCATCACTTAGCAATGTGTGTGTGATAGAGGGGGGTTGGCAGGGTGAGGCAGTTTAATTAAGGAAATGGCCGTCCTGCTGTGGAGGGGTTAATGGCCACTCTGTGTGCTTGTTTGTCTTGACAGTTACTTAAATCAGCAGGTAGTGGATAACTGAGAACAGCCATTTAAGAATTCCTGTTTAAAAGCAACCTTAAAGCGAAGACACAGAGTTGAAGCTCCAGCTGTAAGAGGCATAAAGGTTTTTCACATCTTTATGTGCTTGTATTAGCGGTGCTTGCAGTCTGTATTGAAAGAGATGCAATTAAAAGACTTTTATTAGCTGGTTCTTTTTAGTGAATCAAAAACATGCAGCATGACCAGTATAGTCTTATTCCTGAATGAATGACTCTTCTAAGCCAGTTCTTTTAATGAATAGTTCAAAAAGATGAGTTACTGGTTTGAATCTGACAAATCTGAACTCTGTTACTGAATGTTACTGAATGAGTTTCAGTATGGACGCAACACAACTGAAAATGATACTTACTTAAAAAGTTAAAGGTAGATATTTTATGTATTATAGGTATTTTGAACTATCAATACCAGTTTTTGACTGTGCTATTGACATGAATGATACCTCACTTACGATTTTTTTTTTTTCACTTTTGTTTTTCACAGAACTCAAAAAGATTGAATTGAATTAGTTTATGCACACAATTTTATCTTATCAACAGAACATTTCCAAGAGAATGTGACGCCCGAAGGCAGAGAACTGGTAGAGCTGTGATTGATTGGTGTCTGTTTTATGTGGGCGGGGCTTTGGAACAATAACAATCAAAGAAGCTCCAGGCAGCTGAAGGAATGTTCTCACACACACACACACACATTATATTTACATCTAGCTGCATTTTCAAGGCCTTGACACACAACACAGCCTTGGGGAAAGCAGACAAGGCAGAATTGAGAAGCTCTCGGTCTCTCCCACACACATACTCTCTCTGAAGATAGTGTTACACAGAACGACTGAGAATGAAACAGCAGACTAAAGAGCCAGCTGTCTCGTAGCTTAACCTGCCTCTGTGTCAGCGAGACCGTTCAAGACTTGTAAATGTGAAACTGTCAAATAAATGACCAGTGAGGTCACTTTAAGGAGCTTATATCTGAAACTTAGTCGCCTATGATGTCACTGGTTTGAGATACAAAGGGTTCGAAGAATTTTTGCATATTACTGTAAACATCTTTCAAAGACCATGTTCTTTGAATACTTCAGTACATCAGCAACTGTGTTAGTGGATGTGATTGAAAGCTGATCAGTTAATGTAAACATACATTATACAGTTCAAAGTTTTGGGCTTTTTTAAAAAAGATTTTAAGGAATCTAATACTTTTATTCAGCAAGTATGTGTTAAATTGATAAAATGACAGTAAAGACATTTAGAATTCTATTTTAAATAAATGCTGTTTTTTTAAAGGGGTCATATGATGCTTTTTTAAAGATCATTATTTGGTGTATTTGGTGTAACAGAATATGTTGACATGCTTTAATGTTCAAAAAACACATTATTTTTCAAATACTGTACATTATTGTAGGTCCTCTATGCCCCGCCTCTCTCAAACGCTTCGTTTTCAACAAAGCCCCCTCCTTCCGACAAGCGCAGTCTGCTCTGATTGGCCAACTGACCCAGTGCATTGTGATTGGCCGAAAACCGCAAGCACTCGTCGGAAATGTAAAGCCTCTTACCATATTTGGCACCAAATCAGGATAGTAGAATAATTTCTGAAGGATCATCACAGAAATAACTTTTGAGAAGTAGTGTAAATGAAACCTAATAAGTTGATGTGAGCTGAAATGATTTGATTCTGGATTTGGATTTGATTGGTGGATTTGAATTCTGTGTTGATGGTGTGAAGATGTCTTTTACCACAATCAGTGAATCACACTGAAGCTCATATGATTCTTTAGAAGGAATAACCCAGAAAACATGCTCTGACACACCAATGATGTGTTCAGATAGGAACTTCCCATGTCTGAGTCAGCAGCCTAGGCTGAAATGTGTCTCTTAGTGTCCGTGAACAATTAAAGTGATATTCAGTTTTATGTTCTGATCTAAAACTGCACAGCTGGCTTTGAGATAATTAATTACAATATTCGCATTTACATTTACACGTGTGTGTATAGAAAGAAAATAAATGTATTAGAATGTGTTATGTGCTGCATCTGTTCTCTTTTTATCTCGGTTTAGTTTCAATGCTAATATAGTGTGCTTTAGAGAAATGTTGACTTTGTAGGACTTCGTAAAAACAGGACGAGAATTAGCATTTTTGAGTGCTGAGTGACGCACAGTAATACCTCACACTTAATTTTAGGGGTGCTTCGACTGATTGGCTACCGATTGCTATCGGCCGATAATCGCTTTGGGAAGTTTGATCGGTGGTCTCTATAAAGGCAGATCTCATAAACCGATCTCAAGCTGACGACGCACCTGCTGTGAGAGGTTTGGCATGACATCGGCAGATAGGCCTACTGCTTCCTGTTATTGGTGATCGGCTCCAAAAATCCTGATCGGAGCACCCTTACTTAATTTTTTGAAAACAAGTTGCTAAAAAGGACTGTAACTATGAAACAGATGTGAGTTTGCATGCTTTTTTTAATGAATCTAACAACTATTGGAGTCCTTTTATTGTAGCTTGCTTGCAACATGTTTTCAAACTTACGTTAGCAACTTTGTTTTTTGGATTGACCTGCAAATTGATGTCATGACTGAACGGCTCTATTAGCACAACAAAAACAAAAGAAGTGCAACATAGGTAGTAATAAGGTAAAATAGCAATAGTGTCAATTAGGTAAATAAATAAAATACAAAATTTAGCAATAAGGAATAAATGTCACGCACCTTAAGAAAAAAGGGAAAAAAATTAAAACGGAGTAATTTTCTGCCAGGACATTATTATGGGCATTTCCTTTAACCCTAAAACATAATGCAATATGAAATTCCAAATACGAGTTAAATGTGATAGATCAATACGGAAAGTTCATTTGTATGTCAAAAGGGCCATTTTTCCACAGACTTTGATTAGAGTGAAGTTATAAATTACAGAGGTGTCAAAAGGATAAATATAGAAAAATTGAGTAAATATGCCAAGACAAATCACACACTGTCCTTCATGTTGTCTCTTTCACAGCACACACATCTGTGATCTAAATGAATGGCACCAGTGTACTGAAAGAAGCACTGTTTGCTTATCTTCAAGTGTTCACAGGTCTGAGGTGTGTTTGTGTAGATAGAGTAACGGTTGAGTCTACTGCAGTTCACCCACCTGCCCAGTCTATACAGCGCACATGCCTGTGTTTTGAACAAAGAAATGTGAGTTTGTGTTGATATAATTCATGTCACATGTATCTTCTGCTTCAGAACAGCTGGAGTTTTGCTGGATTTGTCTCTGCTGTTTGTGCATTTCTCATGCTGGATTGTGAAAAAGTAGCTTGTCTCTGACTGAAGTGTTTTTTTGGATGCTAAGTAACGGCATTGTGTGTTTGTACTCACTGTCATTCCTAATAAGGCCAAATCCGCAGTGTTTGGCACTGGTGTCTGTACACTAGATAGATTGAGGCAAAAGTATCTCCTCTTTGTTTCATCAGTGAGGTGTTTCATGGGAAGAACAGATCCATCGTCTTACCATTGGTAACCAAATATGGGAGTGGAGTCTCCCTCTTTTTCTGGATGTCTGCTCGTACTTGTCTGACTTGCACAAAGTAGAACGCTCTGTGTGTGTCTCTTTGCTGACTATAGTAATAATAAATAGGCTTTTACTTGCTCTGTAATTTTTGACAGTATGTTGTTGCAAAACGTTAACCCCAGGTTACTGCAGTCAGTGGGACTGTGCCTGTAGTACAGTCACTTTAAATGAAGAAGAGTAATCTGTGTGTGTGCAGTTCTATGCAGACTGTTGGAATGTTTTTCTGTGACCATGTATTTGTGCTAGGAGAAACAGGAAGTGACCTTGTAACACTCTGCCTACACATTGAGAAGTCATAAACACATACATGTGCACGCCCTTTCCTCTAAATGTCGCAATCTTTTTCACTGCTATTTGTTTAGTCAAAAATGCTTCATATTTAATTAAATATGAAGAAAATATGATGATGATGATTATTATTATTATTATTATTATAAATATTGAATTGTTACACACATATACATTTATATATATATATATTTATATATAAATTAATTTTCATTTATAACATAACAAATGGCAACAATAACAAGAGAGAAGACCAGTCAGAAGTAGAATGAAATTACTGTGAGAATTGATTTTTAAGGTTTTGAGTTGACCCCTGTTATTGTTGTTTTCAGATGGACGTGAGGCTGCTCCTGATGTCAGTCCTTCTCGGACTCAGTAGGGCACAACTAGGTAAGAACTTCAGATTTCGAAAGCATCAGATATACAGTGGGGTTCAAAAGTCTGAGGCCACTAGTGAAAATGCTTCTGTTGTGTGTTTTATCATCCATCCATTTTCTGTTGTGAATATATTTTATATTGCACAGTTTTAACACATTTAATCTGTCTGTAAAATGATTAAAAAAAAAATTGTCATGGCGATTTGCTGTCTAAAAAGTGGGGGTGGGATACCCTTCAGGTTTGTGTGGGTTAAAGGTAGGGTAGGCGATTTTGGAGAGGCTAGCAATAGCAAGCTAGCTTTGAAAGCATAAGATCCCACCCTCCCTGCAAAACACTCTCCAGTCCAAAGCCTCGCTGCCTCCAAAACACATGAATGTGACCAGTGACACGCCGAGAGCAACGCTGTCAGATTACCTCATGTTTCATTCACCGGTGAGAAAATACTATAGTAAAAAGCGCATAATATTACAATAATAACGCCATCCATTCTCGCTTAGTCTACAATAGCGCTGTCGGAATGTGAAGAGACTTTCAATCAGCATAAAAAATATTTTTGAATCAAATCACCTACACTGCCTTTAAAGGGTTAGTTCACCCAAAAATGAAAATTAGCCCATAAATTACTCCCCCTCAAGGCGTCCTAGGTGTATATGACTTTCTTTATAGTTATATTAAAGTTATATTAAAATTTGTCTTTGATCTTCCAAGCTGTTTAATGGCGCTCCAAAAGAAGTGAAATAAAAAGCGCCCATCCATAATAAAAAGTGTCTCACACGGCTCCGGGGGGTGAACAAAGGCCTCCTGTAGCGAATATTCATATTCAAAATGTAATAATCACTTTAATCTAGCTTGCGCCAACAGTTGTACACGGAAGCAGCTCCGGGAGGATGACGTAGGAAAACCAGTCTCCTCTTGGCTTATATCGAATACTTTACAAATCCTCATTTACAAATCCTCATTTTGTACTTCTAATTAGTGGCCATTGTTTTGTTTTGATCTCTCCCCTGCGCTTCTGCGTTCATCACTTCTGAGCGGCGCATGCGCAAAGCTGACCTGATACGTCATCAGCCCGGAACTGCTTCCGTGTACAACAGCGAGCTCAAACTAGATTAAATTGATTATTACATTTTAAATATGGTTATTTTTCTTACAAAACCGCATCGATTCGCTAAAGGAGGCCTTTGTCCACCCCCCGG